GCTTGATGAAAAAGCGAGTCTATTTTATCTTTCTTTCTACGTATTCTAGACAACATTACTGTGCTCCCCTGCACAGACAAAAATCAGAAGATCTGGGCCAGAAAATTTTGACCAGTTTTGATAGATTCAGGTGAAATTAAATTATCAAGAGAACTTAACATCTACTTAGGTGCCTAAGTTTCTTTAAAGAAAGTGCTGAGCAGATCACTTCAGGGTGCTTTGAACCAACTATCAACATCCGATAAGCTAAGCTCTTTCAAAAATTAGGTACTAAACTACTAGCACAGCTCCGGTGAACTGGGCTGGGGGAAAGGCTGTCTAGCATAAAATAAACTAATCAAAGCAAGAGGGAAAATGATGTACTTTGAGTGATGCCTTTGACCTGTGCCAAGGTATTTCCTGGAAATGCTCTATACTACGTATTTCAGTCTCTCCACCTAATATCTATCTTTAACATTCTCCCAAATGCTCAAAGCTGCTTTTGTCCAGTGACACAGCATCCATAACGCACTGAGCTGTAATCTTGCAAGGACTTTGGCATGCACATAAAGCTAAGCACAGCCTCAGAGCCTTTAGTAAGATTTCTCGCTATGTGTAAAGTTAAGTACATTCATAGGTCTTATCAGGATGGCGGCCAAAGATTATAGAGGCATCTAAGCTGGTTGATATAGTCAAGCCTGTTCTGTGGCACGTCTATTTTAAACTTGGGTCTTCTGGTTTGTATCTTAAAAGGTCTACATGTCTTAACTGATCTGCAGAACAAACTAACTTTGCAAAGTGAAAACAGTTTAGCCTTGATAAATGAATATGAACACAAAAGAGCAACTCTCCAGGGTTCACATACATCTGTAGTCACCACATAAAAGACAAGGAATTGACTAAATAGTTCTTAACCAAGCAAGTAGCTTTAGCAGGAAAACACAACAAATTGCCTGTGAAAGTAGTCACTAGGATGCTGAGACACAGGCAAGACCAAAACTTTAACTCGGTAGCATATAACAATCTTAACCATAACTATAATTACTTAATTAACTAATTGGTCAGGAAACCCTTTTTAATGAATAATTCTATTCTCATTCCAATGGTATTTTTCTCAGTATTCCTTAAGATGTAAAACTTGTTAAAAATTGTTCTAGGTTATAAAACAAATACAGCCACATATTATAGACAACAGTACCACTACACAGGCATTTTCTTTTCACTTCTGTTTTTTTTTTTAACTTTAGGAGAAAAAACCAAAAACTTTTCACCACGTTAATGAAGAACAAGCAATATCAGAACAACTTGAAGGACAGTGCCCGGCTGCTAACGAATGGGCAAGGATAGCTCTAACAAGCCAATTTATAACCAGGGATATTTAAAGTCATTTCACAACACTTGTAAAAATAAAATTAGTGATATAATAGGGTAATTTTATACGTTTATTTGCTAAATTTAAGCCTGGGGCAAATTTAGTCCAAGAAATAAAACAGGAGGTAGGTGTTCAGGTTAAGTTGCCAGAGCTCCAGCAAAAGCAGAGCTGTGAGAGTTTACATTAGCTGGCAATTTGCTCCATGAAATGTGCAATTAACTCAGGAGGCTTTAAATATAGTTCTCATGATTTAAAGGCCTTCAAAAAGATGCCGAAATTGAAATTTAGAAAGAACCCTGATGAACTGTTATATAAATATGGGTAAGACAGAAAAGAGGAAAATGGGGGACAGAGGAATGAAACTGACTGGAAGAGGCATCCAAAAGGATGGGACAATTTTTAAGAAATTGTTTAACTACTGAATCACGGCTTTCATTAAGCTCTGTGCAGAATGGCCACCTTCCAAGAAAAGCCACAGAAAGGAAATATCATTAGAAAGCTTATGACTTTGTGAGCCCACCCTTACATTCAAGGCAGCAAACTGTTGTGCTGTATTGTTGAGCAGGATGTAAAGAGCCTGCCAAGCACAGCCCACAAACCCGCTAATTAAGTGAACTGATTGTGTTTGGTTTGGAACCGTTTGCCAACAAAGGAATGTGTCACGCTGATTAGTGAGAGAAGGGTATGTAATATTTTTGTATTCAAACCCTGAGGAGTGCATAACCCAGGTATTCACTCTGTTTGCTCAAGGACTAACAAAAATGACTCTCAAGCAAATAACCTGACCAAAGAGAAACTCCAGCCCTCAAGAGGGGCCCTCCTTTTCTCTCAGCTGTATCTATCTAAAGAAGACCCATCCTTCATAAATTCCTACTGAAGACTGCTCCAGAAACTGCTGAGAATATTTTGGAGAGAAACAATCTCTCCACCTCAAAGCTGATCTAAGAGACCATGAAGATGGAAAGGTAACAGCCAGCTGAGAACCACCTTGGAATTGTAATGGCCTCTCTGACAGCTGTTACTCTTCTCTCCAAAGAGCCAGAAAGGTCAGGGAGGTAGACAGAAAAACAAACGCCAGTTCAACACAGACACACCCCCCCACCACCCTCCCCAAACAGACTTCGTTTTTGAAACATTCAACAGAGAGGTGAAGTTTGCAAAAGCTGTCATGCACTCACTTTTGAATATTTCTAACCTAACAGCCCAGTTTGCTGGTAGTAACATGCTCAAAAGTGAACGAACAACGTTCAAAAGCAAGAAGGAAAAACATGGACTTCAGAACTCAGCTGCTCTTCCCTCCTTAACTCAGCAGCTACAGCCAGGGTACTTGGCAGTCTAGTATTGAGTACAAAGCGTGAATACTATGCTGTAGACAGCAATTCCACAAAACCAGGATGGAGAAAGGCAATCGTCGTCAATTCTCATTGCACATTGTGGACTCAGAATAGTACAACTAAATCACAAATCTGAACTAACTGTTTACTCGGAGCTCTGTATGACAACTAACAAGGAAAGCTGAACACACGTCATTGGAAATTTCAGGTATAATTGCAAGTCTTCACACAAACCTTTTGTGACTTGCCATTCCATTTGCCACAGGTTACTCTGTACATCTACCTATTTCTAACTAGCCTTCTCACCTTACACTTGTCATTGTAGTGGTCAGCACACCTACCTCGGAAATCTCTCTCATCTGTAGAGATGGAAACAAACACAAACCCCCTCTACCTGGCCTTCTCCCTCACTGTTTTGCAGCTGATGGAGCCGCACAGTAAAACACAACCTCCTCTGTTGGCATGACTTGCCTCCAGCCTGAAGGTGGAAAAGAGCAAAAATATGGAACTGAAATAATCTGGTTAGTTTCACAGAGGTGCATTTGCACACACGACCAGTAATGAGATGAGAAAACTCATCTAAAACTAACTAGGAAGGGAAACGGAAAATGCTGGGGATAAAAGCAAGGTTTAGTGATAAGGAGTATGTACAAAAGGAGTAAGCAGAATGACCTCTGACAAAATAAGAAAGAGAAATATTGGAGAACCTTTCATGCTGATTGTGTTTTAATTAAAATGATTAACAAAGACCGCTGTCTTTGGCATGACATCAACCACGACTTCACATTTGTGAAACATGAACAAAAGTCCTTTCTGGCTTCTAATTCATATATAAACAGGAGCTAGAGCAGCTTCTTTTGGCTTACACTGAACTGCTGACAAATACTATTTGATTCCAGAATGTTTTAAACTCTGTAATTGCAAGGTATGTCTGATCTCAGCTGAAGGGCGGGGGAACAATATACACCGAACAATGTTTTTGTGACCAAAAATCCCCCAGACAAATCAAATGCACAGACACTTCAAGTAAACTTGTCTTCCCAAATGCTCTCACACGTTCTCATCAATCTTTTGGGAATATCTTCAATCGTCTTTTATACAGTCTCAATAGACATCCTATGTTTTATGTCATCTTAGTCTCTCTCTTTTTAACTCAGCCTATCTCACCAGGCACCCTAGATACATTCTTTCTTAAAATCCATTTATAGAGCTCAGCTGCACACCTTGTTTAGCTTATGTCCATTGCTTTGTCAATGCGTTTTTTAGAACGAGAGTCTGGAAAAAGAATGTGCAAACAGTCTTTGAAACTCAGGTCAGGCTGAAAATCCCCAAAGAGCAGTCCTTGGTTACTTGTAATTTAACATCTTTGTGCATGCAGGGGAATCAGATTCTTAACGAAGCTCTTTTAACAGGCTGGTCCTGATTGTTTCCAAAGGTGGCTCTTCAATTTTTTTTCCCTTCAATGGAACACTTTGGAGAACAAATTAAAATGACTGTATTTGAAACAGCCAGAAGAGTACTTATCTATGGAGGAATGCTGTGCTGTCAGATATACTGTCTTTCTGTTGAGTTTAAAAAAAAAGAAAAAAAAAATCTCCTTTATTCAAAATCCAAGACATTTTTGAAAAAGAGTAGTAACACTGCTGCGTTGCCAAGTCTGCTCTGGTTTCCTGCATTTTGCTTCTAAGTTTTCCGTGCAACTCCTATCCCTGATCTGGCATCGAGCTCTCCATGTAATGTGAAATAAAGGTTCTTTTGTTTAGCTTAGGACTGACATACACTTATATTTATTTTGTAGCCACCTGAGAATAGCAATGCCATTAAAAAAAAAAAAAAAATCTTGCATACATAGGCACAGAAGAGTATGCACACAGTAAGCAGAGAGTTAGCCATAACATTTCATGGGGAAAACACTTCAGAATAGATGGTTATTGTTTTGTAATGGGCAATCCCAGTACATCATGGACACAGTGACATCAGATACCAGAAAGATGTCTGTGATCACTCCAGAGAATCCATTTGGCTTTTCAGGATGCTTTGCAAACTCAGAAGAGCTTTGGATAAATCACACTGTGTGATGCTACTGGGGACTGTTCCCTTTTTGAACAGCTGTTCTGAGACTTACAGGGCTTTATGAAGTAGCTCTTCCCATCTATTTCCAAGTCTGCTCGTGGTGGCCTCCCCAGAGCAGTGTAGCTGCCCAGAAATGGGTATTAGTGGGATCCAGTCCCTAGCTATTTAAATAAGAGGTCATGAGGCTGAGAATCTGCAAGGTTATGATACGCGAGTCAAATGTATGACTGACATTACAGTACCTGCTTGTAGAAATGTCCTCAAAGGGGTAAAGGATTTCTCCATTGTTGCAAATCTCACAGATGAAACCCTTTTGACTACAAAGGCTGCAGCTGTACACGTGAGAGGTGGCAAACTTGATCACCTTTCCCAAGAAAGGAGCCAGCTTTCCTTCAATAACCTGAAATGAGGAGAAGACAACGTTGAACAACCCCCCCCAAAATGACTAGAACTCCCTGAAGGACTGAGACAGTATTTTTTTAATACAGAAATGCAGCTAAGTGCTGCTGGTTAAAACAATAGGAAAGTTACTTCCCAACAATTATAGCTCCATGAAATCACAAGTGATAATAGTAGCAAATGAACTGGCAACGATCCAAACATAAAAACAAAGTTACTATCTCTCTGTAAGTCTCTATACGGCAATAACATACAAGATTAGCAGTCATTTTAAGTCCAACAATGCATTCATACACTAAGGCACAAAAAAATAGATAGGAAAAGAGTTTAAGGCTTCCATATTATCATCTGACAGCTATGGATACTGCCCGACATTTATGATTTTCATTTCTTGTTATTTTTTTATGCACAAATCGCAGTTTTGTCTTTGTTCCTTTTCCTGCAAAGCACAAGTTTTTTTGCATATTTTTTATGAATGAATCCTGGCTTTCCTCCTTTAGTAAGGTTGTGTTTCCCATTGAAAACTATTAAAATACAATATTCCCCTCATTGCCAAAATGAATAAATTCTCAGATAAACTCTAGAATAGGAACTGTGTTTTTTTTCTTTAGTGTCCAGCTCTCAAATCAAGAAGTCCCTCACTGCCAGACAATCCTGGTAGACCATTAGAAGTGATTAGCACTCCCTGTGTTAGTGTGAAAAAATAGCCATGCAGTATAGATTAAGCTGCTAGCCACAACACTCATCTAAATTTGTGACTCGGTGACAATACCTCAATAAGGGGTGCTATTCAGGCAAAATACTTTCCATTCAGATCAAACTTCCAGAGACTTTAAGGAATTCTGCTGGTATAGGGAATAATGAAGATGGAATAAGGCCCTAAGTGTATATATTCTTCTCTCCTGGGCTTCCTGTGGTCTGAATGGCAGCCTGCCAGATTAGCGATAGAAATGTGTCACAGGATTTGATAGTGACCTCCTATAAAAAGGAAAAAGAATGCAATAATTGCTGACTGAAGGCTTGCAGAGGGCTGTGCCCTGAAACCTAAGAGTGGGGAGATTTACACTAAAATATGTGCCAGATTCAGTTCAGGCACCCCTTCCCTCAATATGGTAACACACCACTTGTAATTTGGGTTTAGTGTAAATGAATCTAGAGAAAGCAAAGGTCAAGGCAGAGAAAAACAACAGAGATTTTGGAAACGCTCCTCCCCTACGTAAAGTAGAAAGGAAATAAATTTGTGTTCCAGGGCACCTTCCTGCCTGCTAGCCGAGACAGCCACTGTTAAAGAGTAGACGTGGAAAAAGAGGTGCATAGGTAGTGTTGATGTTGATGGCATTGAATGGCACGGGCTGATATGCGTCCCCTCTTTGCTTTCAGCTCTAGCCTGCTAACAACATCTGCAACAACAGGAAGTAGCAATGTTATTGCTAGTATTGCAGATAGGACATCTGCTCATGTTAGAGGAAAAATGACGTTCCTATTGCATCCTGGTATAGGAAGATCCCCTTCAACCAGAATATAAACAATGCAGAGAAGCTGCTGCATGAAGTACAAAAATGAAGCCATAGTTCAAGGTACCGATGTTACTAACCTTCTAAGAGATGGCCAGAAGTTAGTTTAACTTCCCTAGGCTAGGTTTGGTTTTTCATTTTAAAGAAGAAATTTTTTGCCTGCAGATTCCAGAGTTACAGAGGGTCTGAAAGCCAAACAAGTTGGGAGTAGGGGAAAGACACGAAAGCTGATAGTACTCAATAAAGAGGAGGAAAGAAACAGTGAAGCCACCCAGCTAGTGACACGGCTACAATCACCGTTCAAAAAGCCATTTAGCACTAATAATGAAATACGCATACAAAGATAGTAAATAAACCACAATACATACATATTTTCCTAAGCATTTTCACACTACAGCAACTATCTCTGACAGGCCACAAGAGCTCAGCTTAAAATGCCAGGCTGAAGACAGAGCTGCAAACAAACTCTCTAAGTCTGTACTAATGTCACTGTCAGCGAGGACTTAAAAGTTAAATCTCTGACTTAAAATCACATTTTATACAATGTAATAAACAAAATTAACATAATCTATTACCTTCCTAAACACCAGGGATGAATTTAAGTCTGTACAAGGCACAAAAGGTTTCCTATGCTGAAGAGCTCACAACCTAAGCAAGACAGATTGAGAGTGGGCAGCTGCTCCAAGGAGCTGGTGTTATTTGTCCCTATTTATTTATTTATCTGTATGGCTTGTCGTAGCACTGTAGTGGGTTGGCTTGTAACTCTGGCCACTGCAGACATACAATGAAGATGATATCTTCAAAGAGCCATGCATGCCAATTTTGCAATGTGAATTACAGGCCATTTTACTGTATTATAGGAGGAAGACAAAATGCAACATCAAACTGATGTTATCACTATTTTTAGCATCTGTAAATTTTGTGTCATTTTGTTTCATCAGAGACCTCAGGGCTGTGCACAGGATATGACTTTTCCTTGCAGCCTTCTCTGATTCGTGTTTGTAGCTAGTAAGAATAAAATCCTCATCTCCATTTACCCTGGCAAGCAAAAAAGAAGATTTCTACTAGCTGTTCCCAAGAGTTGTTTGATGGTAATACTTCCCTGGTTGTTTTTTTGTTTGTTGGGAGGAGGATCGTAGGTCTTATCAAAGGTGTTATCACTATTTTTAGCATCTGTAAATTTTGTGTCATTTTGTTTCATCAGAGACCTCAGGGCTGTGCACAGGATATGACTTTTCCTTGCAGCCTTCTCTGATTCGTGTTTGTAGCTAGTAAGAATAAAATCCTCATCTCCATTTACCCTGGCAAGCAAAAAAGAAGATTTCTACTAGCTGTTCCCAAGAGGAGTTTCATGGTAATACTTCCCCAGTGAGTGTTTTATGGCTTGGGAAAAGGAGCATAGGACATATAATCAAAGGTGTCAAAACTTCTCCTGTGACTAAGTACACTCTTGTGACAGCCGGAGGCCCAGGGTCGATCAGTTTAGACATCCCAGAACCACGACGGCAGAGTCCCAGGATGCTCTCCCAGTTGATGTTGGAATCTGATCTTGAGTTTCAAGGAAACACAAGCGATTAAAGAATAGAAGTGCGTTAAACAAATGTAATGTGTTATCCAGATATCAGGGAAATCATGGTGGGGGGCAGGGGGCGGGGGCAGGAAGGACCTCGAGAGGCCGTCTTGGCAGAGACAGCAACATCTATGTCATTCTTTACAGCTGTATCTGTTACTAAAGCCCTTCAGTGATGGAGACTCCACAGCCCCCATGCAGTCTAACACAGCACATGTCTCTTCTCACTGTCAGAGTCACTCCTGAGCTTTGACCTGAACCCTTCCTAAGGACATTTCAGTTTACAAAATAAGCTTACAAAATAGAGAAACTGTGAAATCACACACTACGAGCTGCAAAACAGTCTATCGCATTTCATAAGAAATGTGGAAATTTAGCACAAAACTAAGTTAAGAGTATGCCAAAGGAACAGAAACCAAAAATTTCACCATAGACTTATCCCTGTAACATAATACTACCTCAACATGCACCTGCAAAGGCTTAAAAATATATTCCCACCTCTTAAAAAAAAAAAAAAAGAGCATCAAGCTTAAAACAAGTTAAAATTTGCTGAGTTCAGATTCTCTTCTACCTAACAGCACACATTAAGAGCAAGGTCTGTTTTCTAATCCAAATTCTTCATAGTGCAAGCAATTGTTTCATTGTCCGAAATTAAGGGTGAAAGGTGACTGACGATGGCATCCCGGTCATCACTTGATGGAGGGTAAAATGCACCTTTCTCTTCCTAAACTGGTCAAGGAACCCATCCCAACAGGATTCTGGACATGGGGCCATGCTTTTACAGTTCGCTTACCACTGCTGCACCTGGAATATATTGGGGTACGCTGCTTGGTGATAACGGGAGGAAAATACTTGTGTTCGGAGGCCAAAGCAAATTGTGTCTCTGAATAGCCCCAGTGTTCAGATCAGAATCACTGTCCACCTCTGTGGATCTGGAAAAAACACTTCTCTAAGCTACCACAGGACAGAACGCTGTGGCTTTGCATACTGCAGCTCCTAACTGCGTGTCTCGCATTAGGAATTGTATAAAAATACACACCCATATGTACACACTTAAAAGACAGGCCCTGCCCTCAAAGCACTTACAATTTAAACCAACAAATGAACACTGCTTTTTACACTAACTGCCACATATCTCCCACCCTAAATGGGACAAACTGTGTTTTGGAGGAGCCTCCCGTGCAGGCTCCCTACCCACACTGCACACTGCAGAGAGCACCCCTCTGGCCAGGCCAGAGTATGGCTGCAGGTGCCGGGGCTGCCGGGGAAGGGAGAGGAGAAGCCAGGAGAGCCAGCAGGAGCAGCAACCCGCCCCGCTGCCCAGCCTCCTGCACCCAGCTCGGGAAAGCTGAGGTGGTATTGGCAAGCAAAAGGGGAAGGCAGAGACTTGTCTGTAGCAGTGGGAGAAACTAAAAGGCTACACAGTATCTGAACACGTGCCAAAGGGGTGTTGGGACAATTATTTTAGATGATTTCTAGAATAGAGGCTTTTCATACAAGTCAAAGTTATAAATAAAGGTAAATCAAACTTTCTTCTCTGTACATCTTTGTGCTACTGTTCAGTTGGGTAGCAGTATAAATACAAAGAAACAATTATGCTCTGTATGAGCGAGGTGGGGGGGAAATACGGGGACTGCCGAATGCTAGCAGACAAGCCAACATTGGCAATGGCTGCGAGATCCTTGGGAGGCAGGAAGACACGACG